AAACAGAATAAGCAAAACGCTGAGTAAAGGTTAAAGAGCTCACCAACTACAATAGCGAAAAGAAACACAAATTCAAACATCCAAGACAGTATTTCAAGCCTAGATTGGTTAACAGTCGAGAATATGGAGCAACAGAAACTCTTACATACTGCTGGTGGGAGACTAAATTGACAGAAGCACTTTGCTAAATAATTTTGCAATATCTAGGCTACAACAGAAAAATATGAGTATTTCATGTCCTACTGATGTCCTAGAAGCAGCATCAATTTCAATAATAATTCAAATATAATAATGATTTCAGAGCTGCTTATATCAGTGGTAAATCTATCTCATTAAGAAAAAGGTTGTACTTGTAATGTTTTCTTTTTTTTAAAAAATATAACTATAAAAATAAAATATAAGCCGGGCGCCAGTGGCTCACGCCTGTAATCCTAGCTACTTAGGAGGCTGAGATGTGAGGATCGTGGTTCAAAGCCATCCTGAGCAAAAATGTCCTGCCCAGGCAGGAAAGTCCATGAAACACTTATCTCCAATAAACCACCAAAAAGCCAGAAGTGGCGTTGTGGCTCACTTGGCAGAATGCTAAGCCTTGAGCCGAAGAGCTGAGGGACAGCAGCTAGGCCCAGAGTATAAGCCCCATATACAAAAACAAAACAAAACAATAAAGCAAACAAACAAACAAAAAGCACCAAAAAAAAACCCCTAAGACTTTTTTTTTCCCTTTGCCAGTCTCAGGGCTTGAACTCTGGACATGGGTGCTATATCTGAGGGGTTTTTTTGGTTCAAGACTAATGCTCTGCCACTTGAGCCACTGCTCCACTTCTGGCTTTTGGGTGGTTTATTGGAGATAAGAGTTTCACGGACTTTCCTGCCTGGGCTGACTGCAAACTGTGATTCCCAGATCTTAGCTTCTAGAGTAGCTAGGATTACAGGTGTGAGCCACCTGTACCTGGAAAGAAATCTGATTTCTAAAGAAGCCAGAGGCCTTGTATGCCCGAAGCTCTTTCTGATCCTCAGCCCTCAGCACCACCCTCTCTCCTCCTGCCTATTAAGTACACCAGATACCATAAATATTAGTAAATACAGTAAACACTTATGGAGTGTGTATGATGTGAATACTGCCACATGGACTTTATATTTTTTTACTCTAATTTTTGTCTACCCTGAGATCAGTACTTTTATTTTGAATGTTACAGATAAGCAAATGGAGATATACAGAGGATGATGTGCCTCAAGTTTCCTAGCTAGTAAATGGTGTAAGTACAGGCAGGTAGGCTGCACAGCCTGTCTTTTTGTGTGTGTGCATGTGTCAGCACCGAGGCTTGAACTCAGGGCATGGTACTGTCCCTTAGTTTTTTCACTCAAAGCTGACAATCTATCACTCCAGCCAGTTCTACTTTTTGCTGGTTAACTGGAGGTAAGAGTCTCATGGACTTTCCTGTGTGGTCTGACTTTGAACCTCAATCCTCAGATCTCAGTCTCCTGAGTAGCTAGGATTACAGGTATAAGCCACTGGCCACAGCATATACTTTTTTTTTTTTTTCCCCAGTCATAGGGCTTGAACTCTGGGCCTAGGTGCTTTCTTTGAGCTTCCCTTGCTCAAGGCTAGCACTCTTATCGCTTGAGCCACAGCGTTATGTCCAGCCTTTTCTGAGTAGTTTATTGGAGATAAGAGTCTCATGGACTTTCCTGCCCAGCCTGGCTTTAAACTGAGATCATCCCAGCCTCCTGAGCAGCTAGGATTGATTACATGTATGTCACTGGTGCTGGCTCACAGCATATACTCTTAAACAGGAATCTTTACTACTAACTGGATAGTCCACAAGAAAAGGTATATTAAGAAAATGTAGAGCTGGGCACTGGTGGTTCTTGCCTGTAATCCTGGCCACTCAGGAGACAGATTTTAGGATTGTAGTTTGGAGCCAACCCAGGCAGTAAAGTCCATGAGACTTATCTCCAAATAACCACCAAAAAACAGAAGTGACTCAAGTGGAAAAGCCCTAGCCTTTAGCAAAAATAACTCAGGTACAGAGTATCCATGTCCTGAGTTCAAGCCCCAGGAAAGGCATGTGTGGGTGTGTGGGTGGTTATAACCCCCACACATAACACCCCCCCCACACACACACAAGTAAAAAAAGAAAACATAATCTAAGAATTATTTTTAAACTGAGTACAAAACTGCCTATTATACAACATAGCCATGGTAAAAAATTTTTTTTAAAAAAGAACAAAACCAGAAATGGTACTGCCACAAAAAAATCATGTTGGGCCAGGTGCCAGTGGCTCACACCTATAACCCTAGCTTCTGGGGAAGCTGAGATCTGAGGATCACAGTTTGAAGCAGCCTGGGCAGGAAGATCCATGAGACGCTTTTCTCCAGTTGACTACCAACTAGCTGGAAACAACCCCCCAGGCCCTGAGTTCAAGCCCCAGGTCCTATATACCTCTCCCCAAAAAAGTCCTTGAGACTCCATCTCTAAAAAACCAGCCTAGAGGCATGGCTCAAGTGGTGGAGCACGAGCTAAGCAAGCAAAGCCAAACAATTGTGAGGCTGAGTCTAAACCTCAGCATATTTTATTTTTTTTAAAAAAAGCAATGAATTAGTGTAAGGATTCAGAACTAGGCTCACAGCTATTAACTACCTGACTCTTGACAAAATGCCGAAAATGTTGGAGATACGATAGCCTCTCCAATGAGGTGCAGAGTAACTGAACATCACCTTTTAAAAACTGAAAGTAGATCTCTATCACCCTGTACAAAAATCAGTTCAAAATGGAAAAAAAAATCAGTTCAAAATGGATCTCAGACTTAATGTAAGACTTAAAACTACCACTGAAAAATACTTCAAGGTACAGACTTTCTGAATTGGACTCCAAAAATTCAGGAATTAAAAGCAAAGACTGACAAATGAAGTCGGGTCCAAGTAGCCAGCCCACGCTGATGAGTCTGAAAGACTTCAAAATAGCCACCAGCTCCCCACAGAAAAGTCTAACTGAAGGAGTGGCTCAAGTGATGAGTGCCAGCAGACTAAGCAAGGTGAGCAAGGCCCTGAGTTTAAACTCTAGCACTGGGGGGGGGGGGGGGGGGGGGGGGAGGAGGAGACAAATGGGACTGCATCACATTAAAAAGCTTTGGAAAAAGTTTATCAAAGCAAAGGGCCTACAGCAGAGTTTAGTGGTCTAAGTCTACATTTCCATCTATGCAGGAGGAGAAGGCTAGCTGGGACAAGAATTCACATGATACTATCTTAGCAGAGGTAAGAGGATCTTGGGTTTGGGGCTATCGCTAGGCAAAACTACAAGACTGACAAAATCAAAGCAAAAAGTGCTGGGACAGGCCTCAAGTAGTAGAACACCTATCCAGCAATAACAGGCATAAGGCCCTGAATTCAAACCCCAGTTTAAAAAAAAAAAAAAGAGGGAAACAGTCGACAGCTATTCATTTGAGAAGGGATTAAATACCCAGAATATGTAAAGAGCTCAGAAAAAATTTTAAACACCCCAAGAACTAAAATATCCAATTAGCAAGTGGGCAAATGAGTATTTCTAAAAGAATAATTATAAATGACCAATAAGCCAGAATGATGTGCCCAACATTCCTTAGCCATAAAGGGAAATACAAATCAAAATACCTCTCCTACTCAAAATGGCTGGAGAGGATGTGTGTGGAAGGAATTACCCAGTTTATAGGCCAGCCACTATAGAAATTGGCTCCTCAAAAAACCACAAGTACAGCTACCACATGACCCTGTTATATCTCTCTTGGGACTGAATACCCAGAGGAATCAAAGTCAGCAGAGATGTCAGCACAGGGATACTTCCACATTCATGTTTATTGAAGCAGAATTCATTCACAAGTCAAGCTATTGAATCAGGCTTGGTGCACTACAATTGATGAATGGATAAAGAAAATGTGGCATCATATACATTGTTATTAGTCATAAAGGAGAATGAAATAGTCATTTCAAGTAAATAAGTGGAACTGGAGATCAAGTGATGTGAAAAAAGCCAGATTAAGACTAAGAAAGACCAATAGCACAGGTTTTGTTTCACAGGGGAAGCTAGATCTAAAGAAAAAATAAGAACATGAACATAAAAATGGTCTGTTTGGGAAGGGACCCAGCAGGTGGGAGGGGAAAAAGTGAGGGGAACAGGGAATATGATCAAAGTATATGCATGCATATATGAAAAGGTCATACTGAAATATTTTTTAAAACTGTAAGTTTTTTTTTTTTTAAGGGTGTAGGAGGAGGTCAGGACTCATCTGAGGATTGTGATTTGAAGCCAGCCCAGGCAGGTAAGTCCACAAGACTTATCTCCAATAAACTACTTAAAGAGCTGGAAGCTGTGGCCCAAGTGATAGAGCGCTAGCCCTGAGCAAAAGCAGCTCAGGGACAGGGCCTAGGCCCCGAATTAGCCCAAAAACTTGCACATGCACTTGCCTGTCTGCGTACATAGAGGTGTAGGAGGAAGATAACGAAGTTATAAAAGTGGTGACTATGATCAAAATCTATTATATATTGGAATTATCACAGGGAAACCCTCACATTGTGCAATTAATATGCACTAATTAAAAATAAAATGAGCCACACACTGGTGGTTCATGCTTGTAATCCTAGCTGAGATCTGAGGATCTCAGTTCAAAGCCAGGCAAGGGCAGGAAAGTCCTGCGACTCTTATCCAGTTAACCACCAAATATAATTTTTTAAAAAGCCAGAAATAGAGCTGTGGCTAAAGTAATAGAGTACAAAAGCTCAGGGACAGTGTTAGACCCTGAGTTCAAGCCCAAGGTCAGCATCTAAATAAAAGGCAGGCAAGCAGGCAGGCAGGCAGGAAGGAAAAGCAGAACCAGTGTTCAAAGCACTTTTGTCTTGTTCTTTTCCTTGTCAAACTCTTAAAAAAACATTTTTGTAATTCTGTTTCCTGCTTTAAAAGTCAGTTCCATTTTGCATTGCTCATGGCTTAAAGAATTATTTGTAATATATCAATCAATGTGCATTCTTTCTTTCAACTTGTTTATTATTTGTTGTGTAAAACATATACATTCTCACACTGACATTTTTGCAACAAAAATAAGGCAATCGCAAGATGTGCTTCACATATAAACAATCATCTTGTAAGAATAGGAAGTTGGATCCCTGCATAACAGAAAGATCATGAAGCAAAATAATGAATAAGCACTGCATTCAGAATATACCCAAATGTGAGTGAAAGACAGTACATAAGTAAAACTCACTTAGGTGCCTTTATGATGCATAATTCCTTAATCATCCATTTGTGAAGTAACAAATAATATCAATAAACATAAAATCCAAATTGCATTTATTTTCATAATATCAATGCTAAACTCAAGTAGCAACTTCATTGACCTTAAATTTTAATGTTTCAAAAGTAAAAAGGTAATCTTAATTTTCCTTAACCCCCTAAAAAGGGTCTGCAAAAAAGAAAAAAAAAGGTGAAGATGGAGTTAACAAAAGATAGAAAACAAGTAAGAGAATGCTCACATGGAAAAACACCTAGCTGAGCAATGTTCTTTTTATTTACACAGTAAGCCTAGGAAACCCCCAGCATAATGCAAGTGTGAATCTCAAGTAACAGAAGTGCTAAATGAAATTTGAAGTCTCTGCTCCTAACAGGGTTTTTAGTACTCCCATCAAGTACAGCAGGTCATTTAGAAAAATAGAAATAAAAGTTACACCTTGTCTTTGCAATTAAAAAATTGTATAACATGAACAATGCTCAGACATAAAGTTTGAACTAATTTTTTTCTAAATGATTTATGTAATCAAGATTTCCTTAAACAAAGACAGGTCTTAGGTATATGATCTGTACAAACTTACAGTAGTGTATATAATATTCCAAATATTTTCTTCCTATTATGAAATGAGAATGTAACTGTTTTCTGAGTGAAGCAACACATTATGGCTTAAGGTGTAAATACTTTGGAAAGCAAACAACAATGAAAAAGTTATTAATTTCAAAATGTGAATCATCTCATAATAGGCCCCTGGACTTTCAAATTTACATGTAAGAATCAATTTACATCTTAAATTTCAAAGAAAGGCACTAGTTTCATATAAAAAGCAGCAAAATTTAAAACCCACCAATTTATTGAAAAAGCCATTACTTTTATTAGGAAGAAACAATGCTACTCAAGATGTTGGCAACAGGTTTTAGTATAGACACATATTTCCCACAGTGTAGCTCTCCCTTTAATTACATTCCAGCTGGAGGTGACGCACTTCCTGTGTGGGAGACCGAAGGATTTGATGGACTATGTAGGCTGGTCTCCTTGTATACAAACCAAGCATTTCCTCCCCAAAGGATCATATTCAGAAAGCCAAAGATCTATGAGAGAAAAGTATGTATGAAAATCTAAGATTTACTTAGCAGTTTGCAGTTTTCCTGTAATATTAAACTTTTTCAAGCAGTACATCATTACTTCATTTTAATACCACATACAAAGAATTTTTTCAAAGGCTATTTCCAATGTATAAAATTTGGATAACAATTTCCTCTAAATAAAGCTAAACCCTACACATCAGTAACATATAGAAAGATACCTGATTTTTTTTTATTTTCCCATGATCATTAACAAAAAGATAGGATTAAATTTGAGAGACCAGAAACCTGCTTTTATCCTTTGTAGATCTGTTGCTTCCGAGTGAAGTGGAACAGAAGGGAGTCAAGCTTCCTTCTTTCAGGGCTTTCATCTTTCTGCCATTCAGAAAGGTTATTAATCACCCTTATGCATCTTCTCTATTTCCTTTCTCCCCTCTTGCAATCCCTCCTACTCAATCCATAACTTTACAACCAACCAACAAAAAATTAAGTCTTCCTAAATAAAATAACCTATTCAGCATACTAATGTATTTAATAATAAACATCTACAATTTGGTTAAATAACAAAAATATTTAATACTTTATATGCACCTAAATTGTACATTTAAGAAACCATAAGGGTAGTGTTTGCACATATTATTAAGTGAAACTTACAGGCCAGGCTCTAAAGTCAAATCTAGTTCAAATCTTGTCTTGCCATTTACCCATTAGGGGAATTAATATAAGGACCACATTTTTTATGTATAAAGAAGTTAATTAATACTATCTTCCACATTCCTTTTAGGATGCCTGGATGGCTACCAGGTAATTTCAACAGAAGTTAGCAACAATTTTTAGTGTATTCCAGGTGGATTTAGTGTATTCCTTGTGGATTTTAATGAGACATAAGATTCAATTAAGATCTGCTCAAACCTTTACACAGGTAATAATGTCAAGAAACTTTCCTTCACTGTTAAAACTAGGACTGACAGTTTACTATAAATAAAAACCAATACATATATCCACGAATTAATGAAAGCCACTGCTTTCTTAAATTACTAGTAAAGTTTTTCTTATGCAAAATTAAAAGTTTTATAATAAAACAAATATACAATAAATACATATTACATATACAATACATATTAAATATTTATATATATAAAATCTTTGTGTCCCTATCTCCATGCAGAAATTCTGCTACTTTTTTTCCAGTTTTCCTTTCACTTTGAAATAAATGTACTCCATTTACCATAAAAAATTATATAAATAATGTATACATACCACAGACACATTTAGGGATCCCATAGAAGTCACAGAGCCAAAAAAACACTTCACATCTGTGTGACTACAAGGTGCAAGTTCCTGAACAATACTGGGTCCAGTTGCTATTTTAATATCTGTAAGAGCTTTAGCCCAGGCCGAAGAGCTTACCAACCACAAAAACGTGGCAATAAGAGTAACAATGAAGTCCTAGAGTAAAAGTAGGTATTAATCAACGATCCATCTACTAAATTGCAAATCAATGATAAAAAACTCAATTACATTTAATTTTATGGTAGTGAGAAATGTCCATGATAGTTTATTTTAAACTCTTCATAGTAAACAAGGGCACTTAAAGATACTAGCACCATGCCTGAGATAGAACCATCAACAAGACTTAAGTCTAAGTATTTTTATAGTAGAAACCAAGGTTTAACATAGCTGTCACCATAATCTTGCCTCAGCCATGTACTCTGAGCGTCATACCTTACACCATGCCATAGCTGTAACTATATTCCTCATAATCTCTTTTAATCATCCCAATCTCAATCCCAAAAGTCCTTTTACATATCCTTTCCAAATATCTACAATTTGACCATATCACGTTTTTTACTGTTTCACTCAGGGCTTCATTTCTCTTAATTATATTCTAAGTTATAATCTCTTACATGTTCCCTCAACTCCCTTATCCTTCTCCTGCTTCCTCATACTGTTCTAATTTAAGTTCTAATTTGAGTCAAATCTAATTCTCCATGAAATGGATAATGAAATGGGAAAAAAAAGAACTAGATTTTTTTTTTTTTTTGGTTGCCACTACTGGAATTTGAATTTAGGGCCTTATGCTTGCTCAGTATTGAGCCACACTTCTAGCTTGGCCTTTTTTTCTCTCGATATGTTGGAGATTGTTTCAGACTTTTCTGTCTAGGTTGGCTTTGAATCACAGTCCTCTGGATTTTAGCCTCCTCAGTAGCTAGGATTACAAGTGGGAGCCACTGACTAATGACTATGAAATTTAAAAAATATTCATATTAATTAAAAGGACAAAAGAATCTCTCTTAAGATGCTTTATTTCTAGTAACTTTCTAATGAATCTATTGCTGTTTATTACTTCCAACAATATAATTGAAGGTTTTAATATTTTGGATAGTTGCTCATTGCACAAACAAGACAAAAATGGGGAGAAAAAATTTTCTCTTTACTTAATCTGCTCTGCTAGGGAACGATAGAATGTTATAATGGTTACGAAGATTTAAATAATACTTTAAGTATAAATTTACATAAAGTTTAAGTCTCTTTTTCATTTTGGTCTTCCTGTAAATTAATGATCAAAGTGAAAATTTATAGATTTGACACTACTCTAAGCATATGAAATATTCAAGGCTATGAGCTTTTACACATCAGCAACCAACATTTCTACAAGCTCAGAAATGGGTTTTAGGGTCAGGGTACTTGGGGGAGGGCTCATTCCTATGTTTCTAGCTACTTTGGGAGGTTTGAGGAGAGGGCAGAAAAAAGTTTGAAAATACTCTTTTCTAACAAATAACCAGCAAAAACAATGTCAGAGGTGTGGCTCAAGTGGTAGCTCATCAGCCTAGTAAGAATTGAGTCTAAACTCCAGTTACCCAGCCCACACCAAAAACAAACAAACAAAAATCTTAAGGACTTACCTCCAAAATGTACATTTTAAAAAATAAACACAATTTTAATTATTTAGCTAGCTATCTTTTAGTTATTTAGAATAATATTTTTTTTTTTGATGGTCGTGGGGCCTGAACTCTGGGTCTGGGTGCTATCCCTTAGCTCTTCAGCTCAAAGCTAGCGCCCTGCCACTTGAGCCATAGCACCATTTCTGGCTCTTCTCTGCTTATGTGGTGCTCAGGAATCGAACCCAAGGCTTCATGCAGACGAGGCAAGCACTCTACCACTGAGCCAACTTCCCAGCCCTATTTAGGTAACAGAAGCTATGCTATTTAGCTTTCCCCTTTGGCCAAGACAACACTGAATAAACACTGTGATTAGAAAAGACTAAAACCAAGTTCTAATTGTACAAACATAGAACAATGTTCATTTTGCCTTTGAGCTCTCCACTAATACTGGTCCTCTTAAAAAATGTAGATCTCAGAGAAGAGGAAAGTAATATTATATGTAGATTTAAAATGTCATAATAGAAGCATTCCTAGGAATACCTTAGTACAGAATTGAAAATAATACTTTAAGAGTATAATCTTGTTAAATAAACAGTACCTAAAAATTAATGTTGTACCTGGTTATATTTAAAACTTAAGTATCTTGAAAAACCAATTGTATTTATGGTTAAATTAAAAGGAGACTTTCACAAGATTATTTGCAATGATGAAAACAGAACAATGAATCCTATTGAAATTATTTTGGGAAGAGAAGAGTGGTAGAGGGAGTAAGATTGCCTGGAATACATTGTAAATATATGGAAATGTAACAGTGAAATTTCACCTAATATAAGGTAACCAAAAAAAGTAGAATTCAAAATTTAATTTAGAAGCTAGACATTTACAAGTAAGTCCTCATTATATGTCACATCAACAACAACAAAAATTATAGAATAAGTATCTCTATGGTCACTAACTCATCACTAAGATACAAATTACTTTTTATTAATTAACTAGTTATACAAAGAGGTTGCTATTCCCTGTCAGGTTGAAAGTACAATGCATCTTGACCCTTTCCATTGTTCTTCCCTTAGCTTTCTTCCTGTACCTACCCTCAAGTTATGTAGCTGAATTTTTATATAATGTACATTGAGTTACATAGACTGTATTTGTTCTTTCCTCCATTTATGTAATCAAAATTACTTTTGATTTCCAAAACTAAAGAACTAGATCACTGTATACTGCTATCAGATGTCTAGAAAATTCCTCTATAAAATGTCTGAATATACTTCTGGATTTAATAAAAAAGTGATCTGGGGGATGGGGAGAAGAGGTAATACAGAAAATATCTTCTAATTATAAAAATTTAAAGACAAAACAAAACATAATTATGTGATCAATCAAGTCTCTTAAGATAAAACTTGGAAGTCTAAATGTAGACCTAATTTACTCCTGTTGAATAGCACTGCAAATTAAGTGGTTGATGTCCATCTTTTCTGACAGCTCCTTAATAGCCAAGAAATACTTTATGAAAATGTCTTTATGTTTTTACAAGCATAAGAAACACTCTGCAGTATAAAAGTTACTTTATTTGTTACTTACCATATGTATTCTATGATCCAGGCAGCATAAAATAAGTAAATAAAACCTGTTAGCTAAGAATTTATTTTAAATCTGTAAATTATTAACAAATATCAGGGTTTTCTCATAGCTATAAATGCCTATTATCTCAATGCCTGTCTTCCTTTCAAGTTAATAGCACTGATATTGACTTTGAAGTTTTACTTTTATAGTAGAGCTTACCTCTGGATTTGTCACTGATAATCCAGAGCAGAGTCTATTCCCTAGATCTCAGAGCTTATTTTACTTCTAGTTCAGTAGCTCTAAGAAGGGCAACAGGAAGGACTCCAAATCCTTACTTGACATGTCAAAGATTCAAAATTAGCATATGGGTATCATTAATAGTGAATATATAAAGAATGCAATAATTCAGATATGAATTAAGGAGTTTAGCATGAAAGCAGTTATACATGATACATAAAGGGTTCAGGTACAAAGGTATTCCAAACATGTAGACAGTGAGTCAGATTTGACCTGTAGGGATCTGCTGATTTCTGATACAGACAACTAAGCTCAATAAGATATTACAGAGGTATAAAAAGGGTTTTAGGAAAAGAGAAAAAAAAATGTAAAAAGTAGAAACATTGGTATGACCTGTAATTCTTCAAGTTAAAGGTATTATTTTCCACTTTATTTTTCTGCTACTGGCAACCTAATAAGCATTCTCACATCTTTGAGTTTTTGTACACTGAAAACAAATTTATGTGGAATACAAAATAGGCTAAAGGAATTGAGCTGAATTTAATAATGAGAGATAGTTCAACTGCATTGCAAACACAAAAATGCAAAATATGTTGAACTGACATGCCAAGAATTTTGACGCCTAGAGTCTGTGGCTCATGCCTGTAACTCTAGCTACTTGAGAGGCTGAGATCTGAAAATCACATTTAGAGATGCTTATCTCCAATTAAACAGCAAAAACCCAGAAATGGAGGTGTAATTCAGGTGATACAGCACCAACCTTGAACGAGAAAAGCTAACGAATAGCACCCTCCAAAAAATATCAACTCCAGGAATAAAACATATTCAACTTCAAATATAACTTTGCTTTAACCACATGCAAATCATTTTTGTATAAAAAGAAATAAAAAAGGTGATTACTTACAATCATTGGGAGTTTACGACTATCCCGGTATATGTTCGTGTAACCAATATAAAGCAGAAGGGCAGCAATGCAGTACAAAAACACAAAGACTGCAAATGTAACAAAGAATTGTGCAGAAGAAGAGTAATCGCCTATGAGAACATGACTTTTCCAATCTATATTACACACATTTACATTTGGAGGTGATTGAAACGATGCTTGATTCAACCTATCAAAAAAAAGGTTCAAATAAGTATATGAATTATTAGACCCTCCCTAGCCAAAATAGAAATACTTAAACAGAATACTGAAATGATGTTAAAAAAAGAAACTCCCTAGATACATTAAAGCATTCTCCTCTAAAACAGAGAAAATTTTAAATTAGAAACTTTCTCCTCTAAAGAAGGGAGTTTAAGTATTTAATTAAACTAAAATGTTCATAATGTACATAAATTATGTACATGTACATAAATTATATTTGGTAACTGGTTTATGGTAGATTGAAATTCATCTATATTCAATCTACCATAAACCAAATGATGGACACTATTTCCCTGAAATAAAAACCCCACCAGATTAGGACAGACTGCAACAAATATTTTACAATCTGAACATATTACATTTTAAGAGACAGAATCTATGTAACTAGGTCTAAGAGAGCCAATTACAATAACTAATATTTTAATCCTAGGTTAATTAGTTGCTAACTGAAAATTTACATTACTTTAAATTGTTCCCATTTATAAACTGTTACACAGGAACTGTAACAGAAAGGATAGGAGATGGGAAGGCATATGATAACCATCTTTCTCTGTCTGTGTATGTGCAAATGTGTGCCTGTACTGGGCTTGAACTCAGGGCCTGTGCTTTTTTGCTCAAGGCTAGTAGTGCTGTACTATTTGAGCCACAGTTCACTCCAGGATTTTGGGTAGCTAACTGCAGATAAGAGTCTCACAGAGGGCTGGGAAGGTGGCTCAGTGGTAGAGCACTTGCCTTGCATGCCTGAGGCCCTGGGTTCGATTCCTCAGCACCACATAAGCAAAAAGAAAAGAGCCGGAAGTGGTGCTGTGGCTCAAGTGGTAGAGCGCTAGCCTTGAGCTGAAGAGCTGAGGGACAGCACCCAGGCATAGAGTTCAAGCCCCATGACCGGACCCAAAAAAAAAAAAAAAATGTCTCACAGATATTCCTCCTGGGGTTAGCTTCGAACCAATATCCTCTGATGTCAGCCTCTGGAGTAGCTAATAGGTGTGAGCCACTGTGCCTGGCTTTGATACATCTCTAAGATTATATTTAATCACAAAATTCTTAAATAGTGATATTTCCAATTTGCTGGACAGGAAATTAAGTCTCAGAGAAGTTAGTAAGCCTTAAACGTTCACTTTTTGTTTCAGTGTAGAAAGTACAGTTTTATACTAGGGATATAGGATTCTTCATTTCATATAAATACATGCCATAAAGCTATATAAAGAATTTATTACTCAGTAATGGCAGAAATATGATAAAATTCCATAAATTCTGTTTGCTTCTCTGCTTATAATTTTTCACTTTATGGTGATAGAGCATTTCCAATCCAATGTGGGATGACAGAATAAAAATGTCAAGAGAATGTATGGCTATGAAAGTTTCTAAATGCTTACTTTGTTATGGTTCAAATGTATGTTCCCCAGAGGCTCTTGTGTTGAATGCTTGATCTCTTGTTATAGTGGTACTATTTTGGGAGATTTTGGAAACCTCAGGAAGTAGAGCCTAGTCTAAGAAGTAGGTCAATCGAGATGTGCCTTTGAAGGTTATACCTGGTCATCACTATCTCCCCTTCTTGTCTGCCATAACTTCCTCTATCTACCACAACGTCCCAATGTCATCATTTTCTGCTTAAATGACTGATATGAAATTATGAGCCAAATAAAAGTCTGCATTGAAATCTAATATTTTCTATCCCCCTCCCAACAAAAATGGTTGGTAATCTTTAAAAAATAGGCTAGCCTGGACTCTTAAAAACTCTTGCCTCAGTCTACAGAGTGCAAGAATTACAAATTAGTGAACCAGCAAGCCAACTCAATATGTAAAAATCTTAACTCAATATAAAAGAAAAAAAAGCTGCTAAATTATTAAAAAGCAGTAACTCACCTGAATGGATAACCAAAAGCAGCTGTAATGTTAGTTTTATTGCTAGGAAGAGTAGAACAAGATACTTGGATTTCTGTTTTGCCCTTAAAACCTCCACAGGTAGCAAAAGCAAAGATGGAAGCAATCTACATATAAAGAGAGAGAAAGAAAGAGAGGAATCATTATTCCATTCAAAACTAGGGTTGTTATTTTTTTTAACATTTTTAAAATTATTATCTTTAAGTAGTTGTACAAAGAAGTTCCCATTCTACAAAACAGTATATGAATACAAGGTATCTGACAACATTGTCATCCATCAACAAGGGTCATTATTAAAAGTTAATTCATTAACAATGCACAAACTGTTAATCATAAACTAAATGTGGACAGAGCTACATTTAAGTTTATTTGCATTAAAGATATAAAAATATAGAAAAAATAAGTTTATTTTCAATCCTCATCAAAAATGACTTTGATTTTCCTCCAAGTAAAAGAGAAATTAATAGGCCAAGTTATATAATATTTATTCATACTTCAACGTATCCACTAAACATGAATATGAAATATTAAGCTTCATCTATTAATATCCAAATCAAAAGGGGGGGGTGAACTGGAGGTTATTTTTATTGAACCGAAGTTATCCATAAACTGTTAGCTTCTATTTCATAAAGTTGTGCAGTCCCATGCCAGCTGCCATGATGCAAGGATACCCAGGTGACTTTTGGAGACTTATGTGCCATCTGCTCAACATGACTAAGCTGGCAAGTGGAACCTCTGAGGTTACATGAAATCCTTAAGATGACTACAACCCTGGCCACCAGACTGACTACAACCTTAAGAGAACCTGAACCCAAACCACCCAGCTATTCTGCTTCCAGATTCCTATGCCACATAAACTGTTAGATAGTAAGTGTTGTTTTAAGGTGCCAAGTCATTCAGCTCATTTATTTATTGATTAGTTATTATTGATTACATAATTCAAGGACTAATTAATTAATCAATGGTCCAAATGAGCTGCAAACTTAAGGGTAAAAAAGTCTTTTTTGGGGGGGAGGGAGACAGTATCAAAGTTTGAACTACGTCTCACACCTGCCAGACAAGTAGGTTACTACTTGAGCCATGTCCATGGCCCTTTCCTGCTTTTAGTTATTTTTCAAATAAGAGCTCATATTTTTTCCCAGGACAGCTTTGGATTGGAGCCCTCCTATCATTATGCATCTTGTGTATCTAAGATTATAGTCACATAGCTTACTGGTTGAAGTGGGGGGTCTCACTAAATTTTTGCCTGGGCTAGCCTCAACCTTCAATTCTCTCAGATCTCCTCCTCCCAAGTAAGTGGGATATACACCACTGTTTGTAGTCCTTAAAAAGTATTTTTTAAAAAAATCTGTGAGGGAATAATTTCTTACAATTTTTTAAAGAAGCACTTCTATAGAAGATGGTTAATTTCAACTACAGAAAAAAATTAAAATCAAAAGTTTTAAAATGTAAAACAAGTTACAAATTAGGTGAAAATATTGGCAATAAATGCGTAATGTGTACTTAAGACATGTACATGGATGTTCACAATGACACTATGTCAAAATATGGAGGAGAAAAGCAACAGGAAAAGTAACAAAAATACAATAGTATATTCTTACAAAGTGAAGTTACATAGCAAATAAAGGGACAGGAACTATAACTACTTATGTCAATATAGATGAACTGCAGAAACCCAATACTTAACTTACAGAGCATGAAACTTTTTTTCATTTTTGTTTAGATAGTGTCTTGCCCTGTAGCTCAAAGCCTTGAACTTCTCATGTAGCCCAGAGTAGCCTCTAACTCCAAACCCTGTCCTGAAGCCAGCTTTTAAAAGCTGTTTATTTATATCACTTATGAAATTACTTTTACTGAAGCCATCATTGTTTTCATGAGGTCTAACCCAACAAACTTCCTCTCATTTGCAATCTCATTCTAATCATCACTCTTTTTTTGGCATGGGCACTAATGCTTCAGTGTCCAATAACACAGGCACCAGCTATTTGTGGAAACAATATTTTAAATGTTCAACCCATCTAAGTGTGATGTGTTGTAAGTATAAAATATACACAAAGTTTTAGCTTTTTTTTTTTTTTTGGCAGGGCTACCTTGGCATGATGTCACATTGATCTGAAATAAAAGTGTGGCCATGGAACCCTGGCTTAAATGGATTTCCTCAATGGTTTTCTAGGCCTATATTAAGATAAAAACAACCTCAAACTTAAACTTGTTATAAATGATCTATCCTCAACTTTCTCTCTCTAGATTTCTCTGCACTATATTCCCTGCCAGATACTGTATCATTCGGTCACCCTGTACTACTTAATATTTCTAAAACAATAATATTTATATATTAGATATGTTCTACCTTCTGCTAGGAATCTCCCATTTTGAAATAAAAACATCTTTGATGCGCTCATTTAATCCCATATTTTTTCCTGGGCTGCTGTGGACATTAGCTCTTACATATAAAATCTACTATAGGCATTTTTTTTGTGTGTAATTTTACCTTTTCAGGAGGCTGAGATCTAAGGATTGCGGTTTGAAGCCAGCAAGGGCTAGAAAGTTTGTGAGACTCTTATCTTCAATTAACTAGCAAAATGCCAGAAGTAGAGCTCTGGTTCAAGGGGTAGAGTGCCAGCCAGCTTTGGACAAAAAGCTAAAGGACAGTGTCCAGGCTGTAAGTTCATACTATTGGCATGCACCCAGATACACAAAAGCAAACCACTAATTTGCAATACAAAAATCAATGAATAAAGGGAATACTGTACTATGTTATTGAGTGCTTTTTTTTTTTTTTAATACTATTGCCTCTACTGCTGGGCTGTCACATCTTTACACCTGGTTTCACTTGAGATTTTAAAAACCTACTTAGCAGAATGCCTGACACACAGCAAATAATGAGTAAAATACCTGCTTAATTCAGGAAAACCATTCATTTCTAGTAACTCTAACTTACTTCATTTTGATCAACTATAAGTTATATACTGGCTGCCATTAGGGAAACCTGGTCTATAGATATACAGTACCTCAGATATATCTGTATAGTGCTTCCAGTAGGGTTTTTTGCATATGTGAGTGTGCCAGTCCTAGGGCTTGAACTCAGGACTTGAACAATGACTGTCCCCTTGAGCTTTTTTGTTCAAGGCTAGCACTCTACCAGTTTGAACCACAGCTCCACTTTCCACTTTTTTGTTAATTGGAGGTAAGAGTCTCATGAACTTTCCTGCCTAGGCTGGCTTTGAACCATAATCCTCAGATCTCAGCTTCTTGAGTAGCTAGGATTGCAAGTGTGAGCCACTGGCTCTGGCTCCAGCAGTTACTTTTAAAATCTGTGATGTTTTACATAAAAAATTTGGATTTCTTTTGAATGTGTATGAATGTGTAAAAATGGAAAAGTATAAAATCAGACTCACATTCCTTTTTTTTTTTAGTGAGCTGATACCAAGATTTGATAAGGGTCTATTGTTCTGGCTCAGTTTGCTTGTTACTGTCTTAGAAACCCTTCCCAGGCATGTTACTAAGCCATTCATACTACTGCTTTTTTTTTGGTTGTGGGGCTTGAACTTGGGGCCTAGGTGCTATCCCTGAGCTCCTTTTGCTCAAGACTAGTACCCTACCACTTCAAGCCACAGCACCACTTCCAGATTTTTGGTCCTTAATTGGAGATGAGTTTCACATCAGGCTGGCTTTAAACCATGGTCCTCAGATCTCAGCCTCTTGGGTAGCTAGGATTGCAGGTATAAGCCACTAGCTCCTGGCTTACTACTGTTTTTCTTCCAAACATCTTGCTCATCCATTTACTTTACAAGGAACATTCTATAGCATTTGTTTATACCCTAGTCTGAAATGAATATTGGTATGATGATTTATATTTCCTTGCCTATTTTGAAATTCAATATCCCATTACTTCCCACCCATGAAAAATTACGGAAACTTACTGACATGAAATTCTATCTACAGAGCAACTAGGAAAAATGCAGGAGCAGAGTAATGGCAAGCTTCTTTTCAGCTTGAAAGGTTCCATATTCATCAAGACAGCCTCAAGTCTGATGCCTTTAGGCTCACCAAACCCACACTGCATGACTTACCACAATACTTCCTCATTTGTGCAGCGATCTGTAACCACAGGACTAATATATAGAAAAGAATATTCCATTTGCTTATGTATAAGATGAAAATACTCAAACGTCTATTTATGCAGTTTTATATTTAAATATAAAATTAAAGCTTCAAGGCAATTAATATAGCACTAAAACCCATGCGAAGGTCTAACAGGCTCATTAGTCAATACAAGGTAAGACATCCCATTCAGGGAAGGAGTGTTTATGTGAGTGAGACAATTCTGAAGGCTTAGGGGATAAATTATGTAGTTATAACTAAACTAACATTTAAAAAATGATTGATGGCCTAAAAAATGTCTACAAAGAAACTACAGATTGATAATACACACTTTAATGTACAAAGGAAAATGCAAGCCTCATTACAATGTAAAAGCAGATTCTACTTAAATTATGAGAAGTTATCAGAAAAGTATTGAAATCAAGATTTCAAAATATGAATGAAATTTAGTTTAACTATACAATATGCCTTAATATACTATAATATTAATTTGTAAATCTAAATTATACTTGCATGCAGGAACACTACAAAATTTTTTACACTGATAGAAGCTCAAGATGAGAAAATCTGAGGAGTGCTGTTATTCCCAATTAGTTTTATGTCCTAAAGCCAGAGTTACAGTTGATACCTACACTCTGATCTTCCCGAGGCTCTACTGGGAAACACAATTCATCTAATTTATGTATGTCATTCACATCTTTCTATTTGCAGGATCTTCACTGCTATTTCTTTTCAGCATTAAATTTAAGTCACCTACTTACATTTCTTTCTGCCCAATAGTTTATGAAAATGATATAACTGAAATCTTTGGAAACAGATATAAAAGTATATAAGATGAGTATAGCCTGTTTTTATTTAATCAAATGACCAGTACTTAATACGGATGTTTCAGTTCATTCCCACTACATAATGAGCAATGCAGTCCCAAAGTGTTTGTTTCAATCTTCTCTCACCATTTATAAACTACAAGCATAGGACATTCTAAACAATCTTTAGTACAGTTTCATAATTCTGAAATGTAGGTTGTAAGCAATAACTGCTGGAGTTTCTGCTAAAAGTTTTGTTCTAACAGCCATTATACACTGAAAACATCTTTATGTCATCTTTATTCCTAAGAACTTTTAGATTAAGTATAGAACTACAAATCTTCAATGAACCTACGTATATTTTAAAATCATTTTCAGACTTTTACTTTTATGGGTTTGAGTGAATTAGTATCTTGATTGTTTAGCTAATTGTCATGAAATAAGCCTGTCATAGCACAGAAAACCAGTGGAATTTACTTTAAGTAAAGGTTTTGTGTGTATTTTTTTTTGCCAGTCCTGGAATTTGAACTCAGGGCTTGGACACTGTCTCTGAGCTTCTTTGGCTCAAAGCTAGCACTCTACCACTTGAGCCACAGTGCCACTTCTGGCCTTTTCTGCTTATGTAGTACTGAGGAATCGAACCCAGGGCTTCATGTATGCTAGGCAAGTACTCTCCCACTAAGCCACATTCCTAGTCCCTCTTTGTGTGTTTTAGGAGGTCTGTAGGGTCAAATTGACTCCCCTGCCCACTTCTATCTCTGTGTAGTAACTTTATGGTCATTTCTAGTTGGCCTTCTGAGTCTAGTTCCCCATTATCCAATCTACCAACACATAAAAATATTCAATTGTCATAAATCCAGATCAGCAAGAAACTGGTCAAAGTCTTTGCTGTTAGTTGGCTGCACTTTTCTTTCTATTCTTCTAAGTACTCAGCTCCAGGTAAATCATAAAATCCAGACTGTAAGCAGGTGAGGCTTTTTTCTGTTCTGTTTCTGGTCTCCAATGATGTTTACCTTATATTAAATCAACAGTCACTGAGAATTCTTCAAGAGTTCATAAAGGCCAAGAATGTTTTCATAATGATACCAAGTTATTATTTATATTTTCCAATATGTTGGCATTTGCATTTATTAAGCAAACACATTGACAGGTAAAACTCACTAAAGTGAGAATTAGCAATAGTATCAAATTGTATTTAATTGCCATACACTTGAAATTAAAAAAAAGCAAGCAAGCAAACAAGCAAGCAAGCAAGCTGGGCATGGTGATATGTGGCTTTAATCCCAGTACTTGAGAGACTGAGACAGAAAATGAGTTAAGAGGCCAGACTGTGTGGCTACTTAGTGAGATCCTATATTAAAGTACTCTCCCCTATCTTGCCCCTGCAAAAAAAAAACCCAAACCAAAAAACACCTAGTTCACTTTAAAAAGTTGTTTTGTTTTCCCTTCAAGTACTAGAGTTTTGAATTTAGGGCCTCAAACCTGTTCAAGTTGCTTGCTTGGCTGGCACTCTACCACTGGAGCCACATCTCCAGCCCATGTGCACACGGGCCTTTATGTATGTGTGTTTGTACACACTCCACTCCTGGGCTAGGAGTATAGGGATGCACCACTGATGCCTGGCTTCCAGCCCACCTTTTGCTGATTATTATGGAGATGGGAGTCTCAGACTTTTCTGAGTGGGCTGACTTCAAAAGGCAATCCCTTCAGATCTCAGCTTCCTGAGTAGCTAGGATTACACATATCAGCCACCAGCATCTGGCCTAAAAATGTCTTTGATGAAGCAGTAAAACTTATTATTATTAAGCCTTGACTCGAGTCTTAATATTTTGTGTAATGAAATGGGAAATGAAAATAAAGATTCTTGCTTTATACCAAAATATAACAACAATATCACCAGAGAAACCATTTAAGCAAGAGAGTTTGAAGGTGAACATGTCATTCTTCTTCATAAACATTACAAAGTTTCTCTCATCTTCATGTCAAATAGCAATCTACTATCATGGTCTTTATTTTCTTACCAGGCATTGATTTAGCCTTCTATAATTTGGCTTCTGATTTCACAGAAGCTGCTCTTGTTAAAAGCCAGCAACAGACTCTTGATTACCAAAATCAAGTCCTAATTTTACTTAACCTTTCACTCGCACCTAACATTACTGAGCACTATTCTCAACCATTCTTTCTTCCTTTTACTGGCAAGATATCTGTGAAGCTCCAGCCCATACTTGAATTGTAAACACTAGGTCTATTCAATTGCCACCAACCTGATCTATCAACATAATATATCTTTATTTACACTTTCCAAGAAAATCCCCCCCAATCAAGTCACTATTAACTCAAGTAGAAATATAGTAATCATCCTTAGAGTCCTTCATAACTCTTCAAACATATTTTAATTTCTAAATCCATTTATCCCTACAATTAATTTTAGATGATTTCTAAAGCAACTGATCTCCTTCCAATTCTAAATCCATTCTTTTCATTTTCACTGCTGACAAAATGAAAATTTCTAAAAGGCAAATGTATTATTCATTTGGGTTCTGGACTTAACTGGACACCATCTAACACCCCACTATTCTATCTGGCAAATAGAAGTTTTCAATAATAACTCCAAATGGGTAAGTCATGTGAAACCCCAAACTCAAACCATTCTCTCTCTCCCAGTCTGGTTCCAACCAACTACTCAAACAGAGCTCTCTATCCAGCAACTTCAACTTTTCACTCCACTAAAATTTAGATTCCTTCCCCCTGAAAAGCCACTCCCCATCCACTAAGTGAACAATCATACATCAAGTGTTCTCTCACCTCAAAGTTCTCCCTAGTCTGATCTCACCTTCCGAAAGCATCTACTATTTTCTGCATATACTTTTACTATAGAATTTATTACATGGCCTTTTTATACCCTTCAATCTAAAAAGTTCAGGAGGAAAAACACTTTTATTATGTTGTATCAGTGTTTCCTACAGTGCTGGGATATAATACATATTAAAGTATTTGTCAGATAAAATATTCACTATATCTGGGTTGAGAATGTGACTTAGTGGAAGAGTGCTTGCCTAGTATGCATGAAGCCCTGGGTTCGATTTCTCAGTACCACATACAGAGAAAAAGCTGGAAGTGGTGCTGTAGCTCAAGTGGTAGAGTGCCAGCCTTAAGCAAAAGAAGCTCAGGGACAGAGCCCAGGCCCTGAGTTCAAGCCCCAAGACTGGCAAAAAAAAAAAAAAATTCAATATATCATTCTCACAAAATTATCTCCTAAGTAACAAAAAGTTGTTCAAGCCAAATATTGTATATATAAATATTCTTAAGAAGCTTAAAAATATTTTTCAAAACACAAAACAAATCCACTTATCACCAGTGCTTTAAGATATTATGGTGTCTATGGTATTTTTAATTGGCAAATAATAGAGGCACAATATAAATCGCTTCTGTTTAAATGCAATTCTAAATTATTATCTTCAATGAGACTAAAACTAGTAGGTATGACTTTTTCTTAACCTTTACATTTGATAAGCCTTGTTACATAATGGGATTTCCTTTCTACAGCTTTGTTTTTGTAAGCGCAAATAACTTATTTTATATTTAGACTTGGACTCGGGTCCGTGTATATAAGTTCGGGAACCTTTAGCTATTTGCTTGTAATCAGCACTATTTCCATTTTCAGAAAACTTTGGAGGATTTTTGTAGAAAATCGGGTGAAGAAGATTTGAGGTTGTATGGAAGTTTTGGGAAAATGGAAGTACGAATCTTCAACTTTATGTAAAAAATAAAAAAGCAGCAACAACAAAGGGTGAAGAAGTCCCAGATGTACATTTCGCTGATGATAAACTCAACTTGCCTCCACATTGGACAGAGGTCAGCTGCCTATTACTATAGCTCTGAAAATCACTAAAACATGTACCGGGCCATTGAGTTTGAAAGAAATATGCAGCGCTTGGTGAATTCACAAACTACTCCAAGTGGACTGAAGATTACTAAAGACTTATTAATAAGTCTCCTCTGATGTTAATGATTGAATGTCTCCAGGAAAGGACTAAGCTGACATTCCACGCAAGATGTTGCCTGCCAGTACCTAAAACAAACCCCGAGTCTATTCTTGGCTTGTTGTTAAATGAACCGAGCTGAATATATGCGCTTTGTGCAAAGGCCTTTTCCCTGCTTCCTTGACCCAGACAATTTTTAAACTCTGAGCCAATAAAGAACAGAGAGCTCGTCGGCTCTCCACCATCACCAGAGGCTGGCTTCCAGGCGGCAACGCGGAACACACGCGTTGGCCGGAGGGTCTCCGCAGGCCCCCGGGTTTCGGTTGGACCACAGCAGGAAGTCTTCTCTTCCTCTGCGGGAGGTGGTGGGGCCCGGGAGAAATGTGGGCTCCCGCTTCCGAAGGCGCCCCGGAGGGAGCCCGACGGGCCGGCGGGCTGCAGGGCGGCTCCGCTTGGGCCGTGCAGTCGGGACCCGGCGAGGCGCAGCCGCCCGGACTCGTGACTCCTCGCCACGCCGGGCCGCGGCCTCCGCCCGGCTCCGTCGGGGGCGGCCTCGCCCGCGCGGGCTGCACTCACCCACTCGAGGACCTTGATGAAGCCGAGCGGCTCCTTGAGCGGGTTGAGGTTGATCTGGAAGGCGGACATCCTCTGAGGGAAGGAGGGAAGAGTCAGGACGCGGGCGGAGGAGGAGGGGGACCCGCACGACCGCGACTGGAGCAGCCCAGCGGCGAGGCAGGGCAGGTAGGGCGGGCGGGAGGCCTCGGAGGCCCGGACGGAGTCGGCGACCGGCGGGCGGGCTCGGAGCTGGAGAGGGTGGGGGGAGGACGGGACGGGGCGGCTCGGAGCTGGGGGGCGGGACGGGACGGGGCGGGCTCGGAGCCGGAGGCGGGGACGGGATGGGGCGGGCTCGGAGCCGGAGGCGGGGACCGAGGCGGGGCGTGCTCGGAACAGGAGGCGGGACGGGAAGGAGCGGGCTTGGAGTCGGAGGCGGGGACCGAGGCGGGAGGAGACGGGACGGGACGGGACGGGGCGGGCTCTGAGGCGGACGCGGAGGCCGCGGGGTGGGGAAGGGGCGGGGCGGCGGCGGTTGAGCCCTGAGCAGAGCGCTCAGGAGGAGTCGGAAAGGGCAGCTGGGGAGGGACAAGGGCGGGTCTAGGGAAAAGGAAGACTTCCCCCGGCCGCACCTGGCTGACCCCGCTGATCCGCTGGCGAACCAAGTATAGGTTGGACGCCATGCTTCGAGCGCCGCACCTCCCTTTCCTGAAGCCCAGCCCTCGGCGCCCGTCTCTCCTGCGCACGCGCACTCCCCAGGTTGGCGCCTCGCTTCCGGTCTTCCGCCTAGAAGCTCCTGCGTTTGCGCAACCCGCGAGCTCCTGTTGCGCACGCGTCCTTGCGCTTCTCCCGGCTCCTACTTCTCTGCTGTGGGCTCTCCGTACTTTGCCCAACTTTCTAGGTGACTTTGTAAGATGTTGGTAGGTAAAGCCGCAATGCAAAGCCTGTGGTGTTGCGGCTTTTAGTGATAATGGTAGTAAGTTATTGCAGAGCAAGTCTTTTGCTCTACGTAGTGTATTGTACATGGAAGAGGTAAACTAAGTTTCATTAAAACAGTTATTAGGATGAACTATACAACTTGTGGATGGTGACGGGAAGGAAAAACAGAAGTAAGGGGTGTCCAAAAAGAAATGTACTCATTACCTGACCTACGAAACTGACCCTTCTGCACATCAACTTTATAATAATAAACATTTAAAAAGTTAGAGCAGATTAGTCCTTGGTTTCCCACCTGCCCCAATCCTTGCCTCCCTGCTGAGAAAGCTGATTTAATTTTCCCTAGGCAGCGCTTCCTTCTGGTACCCGGAATGGGAACCCAAGCTGGTGGTCATTGGCTTTCTCAGTTACTTGAAATGTGCTTAGCTGGCATAGTGGCCTGTTTGTGTATATGATAAGATGGTGAACACTGTGTAACACTTAGCAAACAAGGAAAAAAGGACATTAGCTCCCAGGTACATACCTGACTACTAAGGTGCCTCTGGAGTTATTCTATGGAGTGCTAGTAATCCCCCACTTCCTGTTTTTCTCCCTCTTTCCCTCTTATTTCTGTACAGTTTGCTTAGTGCCTCTTTTTTATACTCCTTAGCTCGTTTCTCAAAACTTTTATTCCTATTTTGTTAAGACTTGCTGGGGTTGGACTGGTGGATAGTAGAATTATTTAGCTTGAATTTCTCAGTCATAAATAATTAAAATTCTGGTCTAAATGTTATTTCAAAATTAAAAAGACACTAAAGGATTAGAAAGATATATATCTGGCAACTTTTGCTGGCACAAGAAGTTGAGACAGAAGGATGACTTGAGCTCAGAAGTTCAAGACTAGCCTGGGTAACATAGCAAGATCCTATATCCTTAAAAAAAGAAAATTAACAAAGGTTAGATTTTTAATCTATTATAAATTAGTAGACCAGTTATTTTGACTTGGACTCCTCCTCTGCTGCCTCCTCCTCTCTTTCTAAGTGTATTGAAGATTTCAGAAACTGGAATGGACTGGGTCCTTACTCAACTTATGGGCTGAATTTTTTGTTGCCTCTCTGCTTCTTTAAGTAACACTTTCATTTACAGCATAAATAAAATGTAAGAACATGTAATTTTAAGTTTTCAAGTATTCATATGTTTAAGCCTAAAACAGGTGAAATATCTATACAATATATACAAAATATTTCATTATTTTATAATGGAACTGTTTAGTTATTAATAGCATATACACATATGTGGTGGCTGCATCTTCAAAATTCACTCTTTGAGCCTCTAGCACAACTTGAAAGTAGCCACATTCCAAAAATCTATAATTCCCCTGAGCACTGGGAGATAAAAGGCCTAAATTAATAAATGGATCATTTTATTCCAGAAGTCAGGATAGCTTTCCCCACCAGCACTTCTGGGGCACAAACAGGGAGATACGACGTTCTGAGAGAGCAAGGAGCTCCCACCCACAAGCATTCAAAGGTAGACCATTGCTTCCAACCTGCTTGTGGGCAAAGGTCAGTCCCTCTTCCAGATAATCAAATAGCAAACAAAGGACAATGGGGCCCCAGGAGGAGGGAGTTTTATGACTTCAGGGTTTTCCACAGCATTGGCCTTCAGGTTAAATGGCAAATTTCTAGTTTTACAGTTTGGCCTTGAGCCCAATGGTCAGGCTATGGATGCCTGTTTTCTCTTGTGGTGTGGGGTACCAATAATATGAATTCATTCCTATATGTATTCAAGTCAACACCATTGAACAAGAGACCCAACTTTAGGAGAAAGTAAAATGAGTGCCTATAGTTGTTACTATTTGCCAAGCAACTTAAAAGTGCTATGTCCTTGAATCAAGGCATCCAGCCAGTGATGCGGGAGTTAGTTATATATAATGTATAACAAGTTTTCCTAAAACTTAATTTGGCTGGTCAGCAGTATAGGCTGAGCTAGCCTTCTGGTTGTTACAATGGTTAGTTGATGACTGATAGGGTGACAACTTGAGTGAGTGGGCTGGACTAACCTGGAGTACCTTGGTTCTCCTTGACATGCTATCTAATCCTCCTGTCTGCTTATGTGGGCTTGTTCTCCTGGAGAGAGCAGGGTTCATTTGGCTTCTGGGGTATCACGGTATGCTCCCTAGAAATCTCCCAGCACTGGCAGGTGACAATGGCCAATGCTGCAGAGGAGCCTCCTAGGACTCCTAGGAAGAGGAGGGGCCTCTCTTCTGCTTCTTGTCTGCTTTTTCTCCTGCTTGTTGTTCAAGCCCACCAGTGGAAGGCCTGCTTGTTGTTTGTGTTCAGGACATCTTGTGCCTAGAGTATGCTCCTTGAACTTTAAGAAGGTCCCTTCCTTGGCACTGTGTGAGTAGTTTTTAAATATAGGACCACTTAGCCTGAGCAGAACCACATCAGGTCTTGTCAGGACTTATTCTCAGATCTGACTGGGCACTGAGGAGTATGACCCTTCAGTGATATAGTGCTATGCTGCCAATCAGGTGGGCTCAGGAGGGCCTTTACCTTCCTGAGAAGGAGTTGGCAGTTGGCTGGTAGAGCTAGAGTGACATTTGTCAGGCAACAAGATAGATGTGATTTAAAAAACAAAATCTCATACCAGTATTTCAGCAATCATTTTTCTTTGAAAGCACAATTCTGGAAAGAATGCTTGGATGACTTTCACATTGACTAAATCCTGATTATTTCCCCAAATCTGAGGAAACAGGCAGGAACTTTTTGTCAAATGTTTCCCAGAGCCATTCTGGAAACAAATACTTTTAATGCAAAAGTGGCTCAGCATGACTAAATTGACTACATAACTTATCTTTGTTTCACTTTCTCTTTGCTCTTTACAAAACATGTGCCATGCTGCGATGCTTAGGATTATCGATGTCACAAAGGGTAGACTAGAGCTATATTTAGGCATATCATATCACTGGCTACTATAATAGTCCTTTGTTTTTCTCAATGGGAATACAAGGTTTTGTGCATTTTATTGGCAAGATAAGACTGTAATTCATTCCCAGTTAATATTTTCCCTTTTCATTGAAAATAATTTTTTTTAAATCAACAACTTCAAATCATGGGTTTTGTTATGCATACAAATAGGTATTTTTCTTTTCTTGTAATGAATTCAATAATTTAACAATAACTGTACAACAGATTGCCTCAATGGATTTATCAAATTAATCTTAAAATAATTAAACCAAAAATAAACTTTTAATTTTTAAATAATTTTGACTTACAAAAAAGCTGCCAAGTACAGTTTTGTATACACTTAGCTCAATTTCCCCTAATGCTAACATCTGATATAACCATCATACATTTGTCTAAACAAAAAAATTGAATGTTGGTATAAAACTATTGACTAAACTATAGACTTTTCAAATTTCAGTAGTCATCCACTAGTGTCTTTTTTTTTTGCTGGTCCTGGGGCTTGAACTCTGGTACTGGGTACTGTCCCTAAGCCCCTTTGTGCTCAAGATTAGCACTCTACCATTGAGCCACAGCACCACTTCTGACTTTTTCTGAGTAGTTTATTGGAGGTTAAAAGTCTCACGGACTGGAGGCTGGGAAGGTGGCTCAGTGGTAGAGTGCTTGCCTTGCATGCCTGAGGCCCTGGGTTTGATTCCTCAGCACCACATAAGCAAAAAGAAAAAAGCCGGGAGTGGCTCTGTGGCTCAAGTGGTAGAACGCTAGCCTTGAGCTGAAGAGCTGAGGGACAGCGCCCAGGCCCCGAGTTCAGGCCCCATGACTAGACCAAAAAAAGAAGTCTCACGGACTTTCTTGCTCTGGCACTTTGTGAACCTCAATCATCAGAACTCGGCCTCCTGAATAGCTGGGATTAAAGGTGTGAGCCACCAGTGTTGGGCTTCACTAATATCTTTTTACTGCTTCAGAAAACTACATTTAATTTCATGAAGCTTTTTTATTTTTATGTTTTTATTTTTAGTGTGTGTGTATGTGTGTGTATGTGTTGGTACTGGGACTTGAACTCAGGACTTCATGCTGTTGTTTAGCTTTTTCACTCACAGCTGGCACTCTACTGCTTAAACCATCTCTGTAGTTCTCAGAAGGTCTTTTTTTGAAGTGTTATTCGGGAGTGAAGGAAAACTACTCCTGAACAAAATCCTTTTCCATTTGTAGCAATTTGAAAGAACAAAGTACTTGAAAAGAATGGCCTTGATCCCAGAAGCCACCTGCCTTGTGGCTACTGCATAGGTGTCAGTGTTATGTCAGTTGCCTGTGGTTCTTTTGCTTTGCTGAGTTAGGAATTATGGGTAGGTGAAGAGAATCATTCTAGTGTTGGCAGACCTGGGCCCTTGAATACACAACCCTTAGGAGCTGGGAGATCCAGAGGCTCATGGGCTTATATCTCTTAGAGCTTGGAGCCTATTGTTCCAGGCTTTAGCAACTAGAGACTACTGGCCCTAGGCACTCAAGTTGGAATTTTTTCTCTGTGCTTTGACTCCAGCAGCTGGGCTTTGCAGCTATTGTAATCCTTGGCTTCCAGTAGCAGTGGGCAGCAGCAGCAGACAGCAAGCAGCAAGAGGTGCCAGCTTCTAGTGTTCCATCTCTCATAAGCCTTAGGCTCTGGGGCCCTCAGTCGTACCGTGACAGGTTTTAAGTGTTGGGCCAAGGCTATTAAGATCCTCAGCTCTTGGCAATGGCTGGGGTTACAGCTCTCAGGCTTGGGTGTCTTAGGCTTTGGTCCTTAGGAATTGGGCTGCTCTCTGGAATTCGTACAGGAAACAGGACCCTCAGTTTCTCT